TCCTTTGAGCCATAGACACCGCCCCTGTTTTGTACATTTTTATGGAGAATGGTTCATCTTTCTCTTCTAGAGTCATAAGAGTTCTTAATATGTATTGTACAGAAGTCCTTTGTCAGTTGCATGTACTATGTTTAACTGTATTTTGGGAGCCTATCATGGCCCAACATGAACCCTTCCCCTCTCCTCCTCTTCCTTTCCTCCTGAAACAAAGAACACAAAGGACCTAGTTAGCCTGACTCCAGAAGAAATTAGCAGCAAAGGACCCTAACCCACCAAAGCCCTCTGGGCAAGCTGTGGAATTTGCCCACCCCTTATGGCTCCATATAAAAGGTGTCTCTAACTGCCTTGAGGCGCAGATGCCATATTTGCCCTGCCTGGGTAAGTTTCTGTCCATTTCAATAAACTTGGCCTCCACTTCTGCTGCTGCCAGTATGGTGCTGAAGACCAGGACAGGTGGTTGGCTGCTGGCCTAACTCACTGCCAGCCTTTCTAGCTATCCCAGTTTCCTCAGAACCTGGTCCTGGTAACATCTAGACCCACCTCTGTTGACCCACCTGTCAGAATTCTAGAGGATTTTGCCCCGACTGCCATTTAAAGATGAGTAAGGTCCCTAAACATCTTCAAACAGAACCTTTCTTGGCTTGCTCTGGGCCTTTATGTCCTCCTGTCCCCCTTGCTGCTCCTGTTTTATTCACATCTACTGGCATTTTTTTTTTCTTTCTTTCTTTTTTTAGTCCCAGTGCTATACTCTCTTCTGGGATCTTGGCGACCTCAAATTATTTTGTTTTTTACTTCAGGCCCAGCCCTATACCCTAGTTGATGTCCCTTGACTTGGGACATCAAGTTTTCTGAGAAAAAATGGGATGCCTGACTTTTCTCAGTCTTTATTTTTTGCTCATCTGTACCCCAGATGAGGTACAGGGAACCTATTTTCCACCCAGGTAGGGGAAGGACATCTGAGACATGGGGGCTGGCCCTTCCACCCCCTCAACAGACACACACCAGGGGTGTTTCCTTCTACCCCAATACAAATTGGAAAATGGGACTTTTAATTTTAGTCTGTCTTAAAAGACTTAAATAATTTCCTCCAAAAAACAAACAAAAAAAGGGCACGTGGACTCAAATTCCCTATCTTCAGGCCTTTCTCTCCCTGTATTATTTTGCTCCCCCTATGCAAGTTGTTACTTGAATACTTAACCCTCTGTCTTGCCTGGTCTTCCTGTCTTCTCTCCTCCAGGGATCTTCAAGCTTCTACCCCTCTTCCACCAATCTGTGTTGAAGTGGTCCCTAGTCTGTTCAGATATATGGAGTAGGGGTGCTTGGCTCCCAGTCAGGGAATATGCAAGAGCAATCCTCCCTGCTCCCTCCCGCTAGCTAGGGCAGTGAAGCAGAGGCAGCTGCAACAAAGGCGAGCCCACTGGTGGCCTGAGGACCCAGATGGCATCAGTTGTAGCAGCCTGAGAATGGACCCCCTAGGTCCCTTCTGTGCCCACTTGGTGGTGCAATATTGCTGCACAGACTCCAAGCAGCTCCCTGATCAGTCTGGAGATCTGCAGTGGTAGGAGGCCTCTCACAGCTTAGATAGTGGCATCTACAGGGGGAGCATGGAGCCCTAGGGTTCTCCGCTCTTATCCTTTCTCATTTGTCCCCCCAGGTACCTTCAGATCTTGC